TATATATATATATATATATATATATATATATATATATATATATATATGAATGTACATGTGAACGAGTGTATGTGTGTGCTTAGCTTATATCCCTACATAAATGTATATGTATATATATATATATATAATAAATCATCATGCTCCATTGGTCGGTCGTTCGGTCGGTCACCAAATCCTGATATATGCATGTATATATCATCTATATAAATACATATCAATTTTATCGCTTGTATGTATGTCTATGCTATGTATGTATAACAATTACGAAAAAAAAAAAAATCATGATCTTGGTCTTAGTAATGTATACAAAGATTTAAAGGCTACAATTTGCACAACTGAGATTTGATTTGCGCTGCTTAGGCCTAACTAATTTACTTAGTATCTGTATTTGTATTCCTAATTTGTAATTTGTTTTAATATTTCCTTTTATTTTTCGTTTTTAATTTTATTAAAGCCATTTTGAAGAATTCACTACCGGCACCTTTTGTAATTTTTCATTTCTTTTTACTACAAATCAATATATGTATATATGTATGTATATATATTCATATATAAACAGACAAATGGACAAAAATTGATGTGAAGTGCGATATATATGTATATAGAATAATAACTGGAGCATAGCTTAAAGCAAGTGCTGCTTGCAGCCATATCTACATATGTATATATGTCTATGAATCTGTATCAGTATCTGTATCTGTATCTGTATTTGTGACTTTATCTGAATCTGCATATTTATCTCTATCTATATCTTTCATATTTAACATTATCTGATTCGGCTTAAGCTACAAAAGGCAACTAAGTGTTACTAGCCTAGACTGTAATTATTTTTTTAATTCATCATTCTTTCATTCATTCAATCTCTGCCCTGGACAAATACATCAGCCTGTACGTACAGTACATACAGAGGCAATGCTTGTTGCAATTCTAACTCTTCTTCTATCTAACTATTCTGCATATGTCGAGTATGTGTGTATGAGTGTGTGTATGTGTATTGTGCATATTAGTGCTGCCCAAGGCAACACCAGTCCTAATCCACTCTCTAACCTCTACCTGGAACTGAGCAACAGAGAGGGTCAGTGCTGCGCACTTAGCCTTGTTCTCATTCAGATCTATGTAACCTTGTTTCTTCATCATATCTTAATATGCTTTATTTTGTAGTTTTTATAAAACAATTTTTTCTCTTGCTTCGTGAGAAATGATTTCGCTATATAGACAAGACAGTTATATAAAGATATTATCAGCCAGACCTACGAAAGAATAGCTTAATCTTTAGATCATATCTAGATGATATACACATGATTTGTAGGCGAGGCAATAGGGCTTATTGGATTTCTTCATTATTTTAGTTTTTATAAAATATCAATATTGAATAATTCTTGACTTGTTTTTATCCATATCGATAGGCAGCTCTGATGCACATATCTGTGTATAGATATTTACATGTATGTGTGTATAATTTGATTACAATGATAAAAAGAGTCAAACTCATTTGCAAATCGAACTCGCACATTCAAAAACTTAACAATGATTTCCTTTACTCTCTTGCTCTTTCCCCGCACATACATGTCTGCATGTGCACAGGTGTGTATGTATGTATTTATATGCACTTTGCTCTGCACTCCTCGACTCAGCTTCAAAGGTTGACATCCGCCTGCTGGTAGTCAAAGTACATGAAATTCTATGAGGACGAATGATGGTGATTCAACTGCTGGTGGTAGTAACTGTTGGCCGATTGCTGATTGGCTGCGCTGGCTGGCTCCTGCTTGGGCTGCTTGAGGTTGCGATGGTAGATGCTCTTGTGGTTGCGCAGACTGTTGAGGGAGCTGTAGACGCGCTTGCAGATGTTGCAGACGGGCTCCTTAGTGGGTCGCATGTGCACGTTCTGAATGTGCCGCTTGAGCCGCGTTAGCGAGCTCAGGTTCTTGTTGCACGGATTGCAGCGAAAGTCATCCCCGCCGCTGGACGCATTCAGACTGCCGCCCGATGTATTCAAATTGGAATTGTTGTTGTTCAACGAGCTGTTGCCGCTGACGCTGGCCGAGGCCGATGCTGCTGCCGTTGCCGTTGCATTCGCTGTTGCTGCCATATTCGCCATAACGGCTGCAAACATTTGCTGCTGTGCGGTTGCTGGTGGACTACAGGTGAGCATGCCATTCGTTACCTGGCTGCCGACATTGCTCAACTGGTGTTGTTGCTGTTGCTGCTGCTGATGCTGCTGTTGTTGCTGCTGCTGTTGCTGCTGCTGTTGTTGTTGTTGTTGCTGCTGCTGTTGACTTATGCTGCCGCCACAATTGCTGCTACTGCTGTTGTTGTTGTTGTTGTTATTGTTACTGTTGTTGTTGTTGTTGTTATTGTTGCAATTGGCTGCGAATGTGGAGAGATTTAGCCCACATATGCCAGAGGCGTTTGTGATGGCTGTTTTTAGATTGGTTGTTGTTGTTGTTGTGGTTTTTATTGTTGTGCAGTTGTTGTTGTTGTTGTTTGTTTGTTCAGAGTATGACAGGTAATAGTTGTTGTTGTTTGTTGTAGAAGTTGTAGCATTTGTCGTCAGTTGACCTGACGACAAGGTAGGAAAGAAAGTCAGAAAACGTCGCATTAGCCCAAGTACAACGGATTTAATTATTTTTTTTATTATTTTAGATTTTTCTTATATTTTTTTCGAATTGTCTTTTTTTTTTTGCTTATTTTTTAGGTTTTTGCTTTTTTTCTGCATTTTATTGAAAAATTATCATTAATAATTCGCAAAGCATTTTTTTCATCAAATATAATTTCTAAGTACATATGTATACACTTATATATACAGACATACAAATGCACATGTATATATAATTGTGTATATATATGATTCTTTGTATTTAGTTCAATTTTAATTTTTTAAATATATTTTGCTTGTTTCCCATACTCTAACGTTTCTTAATTTTTCTTTGGATTTTCAATTTAACTTTGGATTTATTTGATATAATGAGTATATAAATATATATATAGATATATATATTTATGTTTATATATATATATATAATACAATTTACCAATTTGGCCTATGTACGTATAAAATTTTGTGCTATTTGTTTTGATTTTTGATTTATTTTTGTTTACTGTTTTTTTTTCTTTTGGTTTGGTTGTTTTTGCATCGGATGATTTTTAGGGGGTCAAAAAAGTTGAAAAGGTTCTCGTTTGTCTGTCCCCACATAAATGGGTGGGACAGAAAGAGAGTGGGAGAGAGACAGAGAACGATTTGTTTATATGTATGTGTGTGTGGGTGTATTTGATCTTCTTTAAGAGGAAGAATTTTGTTTTTTGACGCTTTAGCTAGTGGATAAATTGATTTCTTCTTTGATTGTTCAATTTCAATGCAGCTCGAAGCTAAGAAAAGTTATCTATATGGTATATACTGACACTCACAGTCATGGGTCACGATTCAGAAGTCACGAGTCATAAGTCACGGGTAATAAGTCGCAATCAATCACATTTGTCTGAATCCGAATCTCTCGTATAGCTGAATCAAGCTGTACTATTGCTACTAGCTAGGGATCAGTCACAGTCAAGAGTCACGAGTCACGAGTCACGACTCACGGAACACAAGTCAATCAATGACTTGACTAAATCTAAACTGTATCTGATTCTGCTGGCAAATCGCCTCCAGTCACAGTCACAGTCACAGTCGCGAGTCACGGGTTGTAGTCTTAGATATAGGGTTCAAGCTATACGGAATCTTAGTTCAAAGTGCAGTCACAAATCACGAATCACAAATCACGAGTTACGTGTCACGTGTCACGAGCCAATCACATAAAAGTGTGCTATTTGAAATCTGTATTTCCATTTTCTTTACTTTTTCAATTATCTTTCGATTCCTGGTTGGTCAAATGGGGGAAGTGGAGTTTAAGGGCTGGGGTTTCTTTGCATTATCGTTGCTGCTGTGGTTGCTGTGATTGTTGTTGCTGGTTGTTTGGTGTAGTCGTGACTGTTACACAGAGCAGGAAGAGTAGCAAATCAAACGTGAGGAGGTAAAACTTTCGTTTTCTCGCTGCAGTTTCTTGTACCGTTGAGTCTGCGTGTCTATGTGTGTGTGTGTGGTTGCCTGTGTGTATACGTGTAGCTGTGTGTGTGTGTGTTTGTGTGTGTTAAACACCATCACCATAATAGTTCTTAGCTTCAATCTTGTTCCTGCTGTTGCTGTTGTTTGTGTGTGTGTGTTGCTTGTTTCTGCGTTTGTTTGTTTGTTGCATTCAAATTTTCAGGTTTGTTTCATTGCTTTCGTTTCGTTTCGTTTCTTGTGTGTATATGTTTGTGTTTGGGTATGTGTTTGTGTGTACATGTATGTGTGTATGTGTGCCACTTAAATAAAGGACTAAAAATTAACCATTTCCAAATATATTCCTTTCACTCATTATTAGCAATCGACATCGACATAATTTATCGGTTTTTGAAGGCATTGCAAGTTTCAAGTTAGCAATTTTCATTCATTTTGTTTTTGATTTTGTTGTTGATAATCTGTGCATAAAATGTTGTTACTGTTGTTATTATAGTTGCTCTTGTTGTTGTGGTTGTTGTTGTAGTTGTTTTCTACACAAATGCCGGAATTATTTTTTGATATTTATAAGTCTTTGCATTAATTTTATCATTGATTTTAGTATCGTGTTTGGAGATTGTGGATTTTATTATGGGGAGAATTGGCGTTGGCTGTTGCTGTTGTTGGTTGATTTGGCTGTTGGTTTCTAATTTAGCACCAAGCTGGTGTCTCACTTATCACTTGTCAATGTAGTATTTATCGTTGTTATGCCAAGACTTTGCTAATTTGGCATATTGCAAGGAAAATGGGTGAAATTTATGAAATCAACATCAGAATTTCATAACCAAAGTAAAGGGTTGGCCTCAAGAGAAAACAGAAAGCGGAACAATAGAAGTAATGTGTTCATGAATATGTTTGACAAGTCGATTAGTCTAAAAGCTAATCCCTTCGAATCATAAAATGATGTTAATCGATTATAAGATCGATTATTCGATTAACAGACAGCTCGATTGGAAGTGCTGCAGTGCAATGCGTTTCGATTGATGTACCTGCAATCTAAAATACTCGCTACAATTCATTGGGTTTTTCGATTTATAGATTATTCGATTAATTGTTCCATTTTTCTGACGATTCGCATCAAACGTTTCATACTAATTAACTGGATTATTCGATGATTCCTTTGGAAGTGTTAGCTGTGTAATTCGTTTCAGGTTATACGGGATACGAGTCAATTGTGAATATTCATTTATACAATTATTATTCGATTATTATTTTTATTATTTGTTTATCATTCCATTGTTTGGTAAATAATTTGTTCAATAGTACCAAATGTTGTGCAAGAATTCTTGATGTTATAAGGGATACGAGTCAATGCATATCATATCAATTTATTGGTTTATTATTATCGAATAGTCGAATCGATTACTGTCAATTCGATGCCATGTGGTCTGGTTGTGTTTGCTTAAAACTTAACTTGAATAATTTACAATTTTTTGTTTTGCTTATTTATCACCAATTTATCAACTTAAAATTAGTTAATTTCGATTTGCGAACTAAATTAAACTAAATTCTAAGCTTTAAATGTATTTGTATATATATTTGTATGTGTATGTGTGTGGATCAATCGCAATTTTAAAGGAGCCAGCGACAAATATACATATATATATAGTAAATATATATACAGAAGGAGCGTAATTTTAAAGCGGTTCATTCAATAGTTTTTTTATATACGTAAAGCTTTATATATATGTATAAATGTGTTTGTACTTGTGTTTGTATTTGTGTTAACTTAAATCTGTTTGTTTGTTTGTTTGTTTGTTTGTGTGTGTGTGTGTGTTCAAAGCACAATTAATATAAGTTTTTTAGTAAAACACTTTTTCAAAAAACTAATTAAGCTACTTAATTGTAATTGTAGTTGTAATTATTTTGTATTTGTGTAATGAATTCGTATGCATTCTTAATTCTTAATAATTTAGATACTTTTTTGTTGCTATTGTATTTGTTGTTGTATTATTCCTGGATATTCTCTAAACATAATTTCGTTATAGTTTTTTTTTTGTTGTTATGATTTTTGTTTTTGTTGTTGTTGTTGTTGTTGTTGTAGGAGGGTTAAAAATTTTTAGTATTATTTGAAAAGTAGGTATAAGTATATATGTATATATATTTATCGAAATATATATATACATACATATACATATGTATATAGGCATATTAGTTATCATCATATGGTTAGTTTTGCTGCTGGGTATTATTAGATGTATGTATGTGTATGTGTGAATGCATGTATGTATGGTATGGTATGGTATGTTATGGTATGGTATGTATGGTATGGTATGTATGTGTGCATTAGAAGTGATGTCGAGCGCCTACTAAATTTGTATTTCATGTTTATCGAATCGCTTTAGTTTCTAGGCCTCTCGCAATCGCTAATAACCGTAACACTTGAGGGATGCTTAAACCTGTCTTATCATGTATATTGTATATGTACATACATATATATGTGTATATGTATATCATATATATGAGGGGTTTTCGATTGTGCGTGGGGTAGACCAAGACCATTTTGTGAGCGTGTGTGCGAGCGAGTGTGTGTTTGTGTTTCTGTTGTTGTCTCCTCAACTACAATATATACGAATTATTCACCAATTATACGTGTATGCGCTTCAGTGTGTGTGTGTGTGTGTGTGTGTGTGTATGTGTGGGTGTATGTGTGTGTGTGTGTATAGAGTTGCATTTGCTACAGCATAGATCTCCTCATTTACACACAAACATACATATGTAGCTGCTGCCAAATACAAATACACACCGATTAACATCTATGTATGTGTGTGTGTGTGTGTGTGTGTGTGTTAACAGCTATATATGCGTACCATATGTCGTACGATCTGAGCCTATCTGGTCGGAACGTTTATAGCCTACACATATGTATACAAATGCCAATTTTATTGTTGTTTCAGCTATGCATTCGAGTCTCTTCGCATTCCTGTTTCCTTGTTTCAAGCTAACACATTTGATTTGCCACAAATCTACAGATAACAACTCAACAATTCGATTAGCCAATTGGGTTGCGCCTCTGCGGCAAGGGGCGAGTAGGTGTGGGTGGGCGTGTATGAGCTTTAATATTTGTATATGCGGCAATTGGAACATTCGACTTCATAAACGATTGGCCAATTGGGCTGCCTGCCACACAACAAAATGCGAGCATTTTGGCGTACTCTGTGTGCGCTTCTGTATTTGTACTTAGTAAATTCTCAAGCTTTAAAATTTGGGTAAGGGGGTGGGTAAAGGGCGGTGGCGTGAGGGGAGATAGACCAAATATTGTTGTAATTACATGTACATAAGGCATACATACACACGTTTGTATGCGTGTGTGTGTGTGTCTGTGTGTGTATGTGTGTGTGTGCGTGTACATACATTTGTGTATGTATGTATATAATGCCAATGGACTGTCAAGGATAAATACATAAATGTTCATAAAAGGGAGATCACACACACACACATGTGTGTGTGTGTGCGTGTATGGACGTATGTATGTATTTGTTGTCTGTTTCGCTTTTCGCATCTCACTCATTCAGGGTGAAAATTTTGTTGTTCGACAATTTTGAAGCCATATTTGAAAACGAATCGAAACGAAAAATTTGAAACTATTGAAATAATTCAACGAAAGACACATTAAAAATAAAGTTGCAATTTATATATATATATAAAAATTTTTCATATAAATGTATTTTTGTTTTTGTTTTGGTTTTTTTTTTTTTTTTTTTTTTTGGTTTTTGATTTAAAAGGATTAGTTTTCAATGCAAATACATATAATTGAATTGAAGCTTTTCTTTTGCTTTTGCTGTTGTAAATATATACGGATCATATCTGTTAGGGGAGGAGTTACGGGGGAGGGGGCGCAGGAGGTTTGGCTTTGGAGAATTGTGGTATACTTAGTTTTAGACACAAGCACGACGACGTACAAAAGTAAATTTAAAAATTTCAATACATAATATATATAAGTATTTATGTATATATATATTCGATCGATTTTATAATGCGGTTGCATTTTACAATAAAACATAACGGTAAAAGAATTGAACTAAACACAAAAATGTGGACACCAAATCAAATGGATTGCAGAAATATGTTGTTCAGTGTTGTTGTTGTTGTCATGTGAATGAAACACAAAAGGAATCGAATTGCACTGAAATCAACAAAATCAATAGTAATGGAACGATAAATAAATAGCTCTACCGTCTATCCAATCTCTATATAACTGTGACCTTAACCCTTTCGTTATTTGTCTCCTCTCTAGCTCCTCATCCATCTATGCAAATCTCTATCTGATTTCTTATAGATGCTGGAATCCGAAACATTAACAAAGAAGCCTATTTTAATCTACTAATTATATTAAGTATATTGCTAAACGGTTTACGGCTAACGGAAACGGAAATACAAACCAAAACTAAGAGTAATCAATAGAAATAAATCATTCTTTCCATTTCGCATTAAGTATACAACTAAATATATATGTATGTATGTATGTGTGTATGTTTGCAAGTGTAGGTTTATGTATGTATCATTGAAGGTATGTGTGTGTGGGTGTGTGTATTTGTATGTATGTGTAGTAGAGTATGACACTGTAATATGCAATGGGTTTATTATTGCGTTTAAATACGAATACAAAATTAGCACACAAATAAACGATGGAAAAGGAACGTAAAACGTGAAACGCAGAACGCAAAACGTAAAACGTAAAACGTGAAACGTGAAACGTAAAACGTGAAACGTGAAACAAAGAAATAGACTCATTAAAAGTGAACAAAATGACAAATGTTGAGAAAACAAACATGTAAGGAACATACACATATATTTTCTGCTTAACAGTTAGCCGATGCTTAGCTTAGCTGACTAGATCTAATTAGATATCCAATTGGGATTCACTCTAATTTCAATGTCGATATACGATTGGCGAATTGTGTGATTGCAAGATAGAGAGGAAGAGTGAGAGAGTGGGAAGGAAATAGAGAGTGTGTCTGTGTGCGCGCATGTGTGAGAGATAGAACAGAGCGATGTTATTTGATGACATATATCGAGATTAGCGTATATCGTATATCGTATATCGTATATAGTTTATCGTTTATCGCTGATACTGATACTGATTTGACATGTGTGGACATGAAGTAAGCCAAATGAACTCGAAATCTCGAAGACACAAAAAAAAAACACACTTCTCTTCTCAAAGGCAATAAAAGCAGCCCGAACACTGAACCAGTCCCCCAATCATCGCAATCCCAGACCTAATCAACTACTCCAAGACGTCTGCAATCGGCCTACGTGTCCCCTTTCGACACCTCACGTCCTTCATTCCCTTGCTCCTGCACAGTTTCATAAATTATCTAGCATCACGCTTAGCCCTGTACAGTGAGTCAACAATGTATTCGTATGTAAATTAGCCTATATAACATTTCTAGCTCTAACACCACGGCATGTGTACGCATGTGTTTGTTGTTGGCTTGTTCGTCAATCGGCTCGTTAGTTCGAGTTGGTGTTTGTTGCTGTGTTTCTCCTGGGGGGATGGGGAGGGGGAGGCGGCCGCAAAGCCGCAAAGCTTTTACGAACACATTTTACAGTTAGACGGCCGGAGGTGTTGCTGGGCATGGTGGCGGGGGGGCGTGGCAAATTGTTGTGGCCTAACCTCAGGATAACAGAGGCAATTAAAATTTACCGCCACGAGCTCACACACACACACACACACACTATTTTGCTAAACGCTCTTGATGCTACGGATGCTCATTCGTTCAGTTAATTAGTTTAATGTATTCACACACACACACACACACACACGCACAAGCACACGCACACACATAAAGTTATTAGCTAATTTTTTAGACATTTCTCGGGTCTGGGGGATTTTTCGGCTGGGGATTGTAGGTTCAGTGTTTTAGCCGGTTTTAATGCGTAGACGATTTTGCTTGGATTTTCTCGGCACTATCTCAACTCAATGATCATTTGCATGGACCGTTAGCGATCATTATCGTCAACATAAGCATTGGCCATTTGTTATACATATGTTTGTTAGACGCCTGACTGCTGTTTGTTCTTCTTCTTCTTCCTCTTCTGCTGCCTTATATGCTTTCGCAGTTGTCCTACGTTTATGTTTGTTTATTTATTTTTATTACGAAAATGAAAACATTTACCATCGAAACAATCAAACAAGAAAAAAATTTGTACACTTTATCGATTTGACTTGAAGATGCAAAGGAAAGAAAAAAAAACAAAACAAAATTTAAATTTAAAATTTCAAACGAAAAAAAAACTAGTTTTTACTTATGTGTTGACTTTTACGTGTTTTTGCAATTCTAATGAAAAAAATATAAAAATCAAATATGAAAAGTCCACGTGAAAGGCGGCCCAGCTGCAGCAGCAACAGGCAGCTGTGCTTCGGAATACCCTGGGCCGCCCTTGAGTGGAGACGATTGATATGTTGGTTTACTTTGAAATCAAATCGAATGGAATGGATAAATATAATCAAATATATATATATTCGTGTTCGTGTGTTCTCGGTGTGTTTAAATAAATCAAAAGTTAAATCAAATTGTAGTTAACACACACATATATAGCCGATTTATATGCATGTACGGATGTAAGTATGTTTTTTTTTTTTTTTTTTCAAGTAAAACAAATGATACAGACACATTTCTTCAACGTTAAAATATTCGGATTTCTATTAATTCCTTTTCGTAAAAAATATTGTTTTTCTTTAAATATTTTTGATTCTGGGTTTTTCTTTTTTTTTTTTTTTTTTTTTTTTTTTTTTTTTTTTTTTTTTTTTTTTTTTTTTTGATATTTTGGTATATTTGCATTTGATGTAAAAAATGTAATAATGAGCTTTTGAGCGCAAATAGAGCGAAATAATAGAGTAAATAGAGAAATGCTCGGACTCACCTTGTGGAGAGACAGCGAGTTCACCAGATTGTTGTAGCTGGGTATTAAGACCTGTTCGACAGAGAGATCAAAGGAAGGAGAAGGAGATTAGTCAGATTGCAAAGAGAACCATCGAATGTATTACGCACCCATCAAGGCTGAATGATCGAGATTGCTAATCGGAAAATTGAATGCAGCTGGAAACAATTTGCTCTCGGCCGGTGACATGATGTAGGGCTGTGCGGCATGATGGGTGGCTAGGTTGTCGTTGATCTCATCGTCATTGCCAGAGCTGTCGGAAGAGAGAAGACCACGAAGAACAAATATTAAGCCACAGAAGGGTACTGACTCTACATCTACGTCGAACTGAACTGGACTCAGCATTCCTCGGCCAAACTTGGCCTATATAGGCACTCTATGGGCTCTGTAGTCCCCATTGCCTGCACTTAGTATCTATATTTGCACATTTAGCTAGTAGTTACCTCAAGGAGCCTTTGCCGCCGTCACCGCTGCTGGAGCGGTTGGCGTCGTGCTCGCCTGTGGAGTCGTTGCTGTGCTCATCATTGACGTTGGCGTTGGCATTGTTGTTGTTCGAGCAGACCAGCTCCATCGGCTCCGACTTGACATCGTCGACACCGCGTGCCAGCGGCGAGGGCGTCATGCTGCCAAGCTTCTCGCTGATGGAGATGCCGTTACCGTTGCCGTTGCCATTGCCGTTGCCGTTGCCATTGTTGTTGTTGTTGCCGTTGCTGTTGTTGCCGTTGCCCGAGTTGCCGTTGCCTGTGGAGCGATTGCCTATAGTGGGAGAGCCGGACAGTTGGAAAGATGCGAAAGTGCGAAAGTACGAGAGTGGGAGAAATAATGTCCTCCTCTCTCTCTCTCTTTCTTTCTTTCTCTCGCACTCCCGCTCTCTCTCTCTCTCTCTCTCTTCTCTAAGGGTTGTACTTACGCTTCTCTTCCTTGAGCGGCGGCGTGTTGTTGTTGTTGTGGTGCTTGATCGTGCTAAAGTCGGCCGGCGTTAGCTGGGGCGAGGCGCTGCGCGCATGCATCTGCAGATCGGGACTGCCGTTGTTGTTGCTGTTGGCAGAGAGGCCGTTGTTGTTGTCGGCGCTGCGCAAGCGCTTGAGGGCGTGCGACGTTGTCTCGTCGACGACGCCGCCGCTGTGGTGCATCATGGCCATGCGCTTCAGCAGATTGTTGTTGATGTGCTGCGGCAGCTGCTGCGGCGGCGGAGGCGGCGGCGGCGAGCCGCCAACCTGGCGGCTGCTAAACAATGTGGCAGCCCCCTCATCGTGCAGCGACGAGCCATGGTGTGGATGCGAGTTGAGTGGCGTGCGTATGCCCGCATTTGCGAGGTTCTGTATCTGTGCCAAGTGCTGCAGAGAGGCAGATGGAGAGTGAGCTGAGCCCATACACGCGGCAGCCACTGTACTTACGCTGTGCGTGTCCTCGGCCTGCTGCTGCGTTAGGCCCGAGACGCGCAGCACCTCGGCGGTCTTCAAGAACGACTGCAGCGACTTCTGGTGCACGTTCACCTCGCCGTGGTATATGAACTCCACCAGCGAGTGCAGATCCATGAAATTGACGTCTTGCAGCAGGATGACCGGATGTTTGCAGGGTGTGCTCTGTGGCGAGAGAAAGCGGGAGTATGCGTTTAGATCAAGTCTGTTGGCTGCGATGACCTTCGGCCATTGGCTCAATGTCAAATGAGCTGCAACTCGAGTGTGTGCTGGCTCTATCTCTGTTTCTGTCTCTATCTCTGTCTCTGTCTCTGTCTCTGCCTTCTTCTACTTCTACTTCTACTTCAGCTTCTGCTTCTGCTCTGCCTATCTTTCTTCTCTCTGGCACACACATGCATGCCAACTGCTTCAAGTTGGCCCCATTTCCCTCATCTCTTAGCCCCCATCCCTCCCCCCATACCTCATTCAACGCCAATCTACAGCTGTGTGTAAATTTCACTTTATCATCCGAACGGCAAAAGCCAACAAAGGGCCCCAAAATTGGGTCAAGTTACGGCGTCGTTGTGATTATTTCGATTGCACGCATTGCGCGCCTCCAGTTCCAGTTCCAGCTGCAGTTGCAATTCCAGTTGCAGTCCCTACGCCAGCCCCAACCCCAGCCCCAGCCCCAGCCCCAGCACCAGCCAAAGCCCCAGCATCAGGCACGATCCTATATACCAGCGTCTGCCTTGACTTTACATGCTTTGTCTCTGCTTCCATCGCTCTGTCTCCGTCTCGCTTATTGGAGCGTTTCTTGCTCTGTCTTGTTTGCTATATCGCAATTTATTTTCACATTCGTTATACATATGTATATGTATATGTATATAGGGGCCTATATGCAAGTATAACAGCAAGATACACAAACAGAGGCAGAGGCAGAGGCATGAGAAGAGGCAGAGGCAGAGGCAGATTGTGAAATTGAGGTCAAGACGGCAGCGATCAAGTGATCGTCACATCCCAAACGAGCACCTACAACGAGTTTGTGCCGAAAGGAGAAACCCAGAAACAACAGATAGAGACAGAAAGAGAGAGCAAGAGATATGTAGAGATGGGGACAGACAGAGTGAAGTATACATGAAGGATCTGCGATTCAGAAAAGTTTACCACAGAGAAAGTGGCAAAGCGAGAAATTTTGCCTGGAGAAACCTTTCTTGGAGACAAGTGATCTGCCCTAGAGAAGAGAAACAGCTAAGGCCAGTGGACGAGAAAAAGAGGAGGCGTACGAGTCGTCGTGGACCAGATGCAAATTGTGTGTCTTTGCTAAATGGGCGTGGCAGCAGACAGTTTTCAGTTAACTGTTTTGCAGTTAACTGTTCACAATTCACAGTTGAACAATAGCCAAAATGCTTTTAGAAGCGCTTAACTCACGCCCCTTTTCGGACCCAACGCCCCTTCCCCACAGAGAGTACTTCATTGTGTTTTGTTGCTGTTGTTGTTGTTGCTGTTGTTGTGTGTCTGCTTTGCAGTTTTACACCTAATTAAAATAATGCGCTGCAGTTAATTAAATATTTATGCATAGGCACAAGGCGACGCCAGCAAGAGATCAAGAGAGAGAGAGACAAAGACAGATGCAGGGGGAGAGAGAGAGACGGAGAGCAAGAGAGAGACAGAGAGAGCCAGAGAGAGAGAGAGAGCAAAGTGGCAAAGTGTCGCCAAACCGGAGCCGGACTCAAGCAAAGGCTGGACTTTAGCTATAGCATGTCTGTTTGTGTCTTTGTTGCTGTTGTTTACGTTGCTATTGTTGTTGTTGTTGTTGTTGCTGTTGCTGCTGCTGCTGTTGTTGTTGTATGTATTTCAAATTGAATTTACAAACTTCTGGCTGACTCGTATTGTTGCACTGCCAACAAAGTTTTTGTACTAATTTCTTGGTATATAATTATTTTAGCATTTTCTTCTTCTGCCCCTTCTGCCTCCTCCAACTCTAGCTCTTCTTCTGTCGCTTTTTTTCTGTTCCTTCGTTCTTGGCATTGTTGCAGTTGCAGTTTGCTGCGAATTTAGTTGGCCTTTTTAACAAATTAAATGACGACTTTCAGTTGTCTGTCTGTCTGCCTCTCCGTCCCGTCCGCCCCGTCCGCCCCGTCCGCCCCGTCCGTCCCGTCCGCCTGTTTGTCTATTTGTCTGTTCTTGTTGTTGTGCTTCATTATCATAGTCGTAGTTTCAGCATTTGGCTAAAAGTTTCGGCGGAATTTATTGGCCGGACAGCTTGTAAAGCTACAGCTTGGCGTGGCTGCCGACAGGGTACACCGTGTCGTATACACAATATGCCAGGGCACACATATACATATACGCGAAAAGGTTGACGTATTGTCAGCTGTACGGCAGAGCCGCCAACCATTAGCAGAGGCCGGTGCCGCTAAAAGCGCCAAAAGAAACGAATCGCCCATTTCTCCCTCTCTCTACCTCTCTCTCTCTCTCTGCCCCTCTCAGAGTTGCGCCAGTTTGCGTTGTTCATTTGTCTGGTTGCGTCTAAAAAAATGTACAAAACTCAGAGTTTTCTATCATGTTAACAAATCACGTCGTAAGCGAATATTTACCAAGCCGAGCAGCAAAACTAAGAACTGAGAAGTTTGTAATTTATATAATTTCTGCTGCAATGCCAAAGCTGAAGCTAAAGGCAAACGCAAACGCAAAGGCAAAGGCAAAGGCAAAGGCAAGGGCTTTTCCTCTAACCACAACCACTAATCAATCCACTAACCAATTCGCTAACCCAACAGTCCAAGCTCCGAGCCTCCAGCCCCGACCCCAATGACAGCTCAAACAATGCAAATGGCAAAGTTTTTGGCTGGCAAATGTGAAGGAGAGAAGGGGTAAGGGCAGGGGCTGGGGGCTCAAGGGGTAACCAAGTCTCGAGGCCCGCTAAAAACCGCAATTGCGTGCAAATATTTTCAATGCAGTCGCAAATTTTTTTTGTTTTGGCGGACAGGTAAACGAGGCAACGACTTCCATAATTTTAATGTCATAATAAAAACAAGCACGACTGCTCCAATTGAGCATGCCCGACTCACACATACCCAGCAGTCTACTAGGCTACTCCAATAATGAATAGACTCGCTCCAGGATGCAGAGTGCGCGGACTAGCATTCTCGGGAGGGACGCACTATTTGATATGGATCGAGATCTGAATGGATTGCACCGGAAGGCGTGCCCAGTTTCTACTGCACCGTTGCCCCCGTTCTGTTGCAAGCTGTTCCCCAGTCTCAGGATCTCGGGATCTTGGGCTGTGCCTCGTGGTCCAGTCACATGTTACTCAAATAACGGTCCGCTTTAAGACAGCTACAGTCAAAACTTTTTGCGATGGCCTCGACTGTACCTCATGCCCCATAATGTTGCAGGCAATTGCCGACATTTGGCGTGCTGTCGTCTCTGCCTGCTCTTCTTCTTCTAGTTGTTGCAATTGTTGCCTGTTATACTTATAGTTGTTATAGTTGTTGCGCAACTAAATAAATTAAAATCCAAACAGAAGACGGCAGCCCCCGTGCCACGCCCCCCTGCTAACTAGCTGCCATCATATTTTTTAGCGAAATGCACAGCTAAGAACTTTTTCCCTAACTGTTTACACCACGCGCACGAAACGTTGCAAGCAAACAAAATGCTTGCAACATTTGCAGGCAGACAAAAGTCAACTCTCTCTCTCTCACACACACACAAACACACACACTCTTTGTGTGTGTGCGTGTGTAGCCATCGTTTTATTAATTAGGCTGCCATCAAAACTGGGCCGCAGCAGCGGCAGGTGAGAGCGAATGGATTTATTTGATCAACGCTGCGTATGAGTAATATTTATTTGTATATACTATATATACATATACATACATACATATGTATGTGTGAAACAGGATGTATTCAACAGACAGCTGAGGCACATGTGCTCTGAATCTCTCTCTCTCTCTCTCTCTCTCTCTCACTCTCTCTCTGCCGATCACTGTTTCTGTCTCTCTCTCTCTCTCTCTCTCTCTCTCT